TCAGCCGCCGTTCCCAGCCTGCCTTCCGTGCGCATGGGTACAGCGCCCCAATAGCGCTACAATAGCATTGATCAAAAATAAATACAGGATACATAAATGTTAGCCAAAGGTGCACAAAGTAATTCCTTAAAGACACAGCTGTTCTTACCATAAATTGGTATTATGCATTAGTATTCTTAAAACCTGAATATAACACACAGAATGAACAAATAAAACAACCAGTTTTGCCCTGATTGGAACTCAGCAGTGCGGTTCAGCCATGTATAGATCTTCCTGTATGTGCTCATTATGTCTGTGGTTTCAGTGGTCAGCACTTGTCATTGCTGAGACAGATACCCCAAATATATTTAAATTATCTTTTGTATGTGACGTTTTTGTCAGTTGTACTGTTATTTGCTTGTCTCATTATTGATTAACACCTGGGACTGCTAAGTTACAGCACAACCAGTGCTTATGAGAAAGAAATATGACACAATTACAGTTGGTTCTGCATGGATTATATGGATTTGGGATGATTCAGAAAGGCTTATACAGTATACTTGCCAAACAGGATTGGGCTACATTGCTGGCTCTCACTAATTCCATTTATTTTGCTGCTCCTTCCCTAAAAAAAGACCAAAGACTTTTTTGTTAGACTGTAGAAGTCACAGTTGTCGTTTGGGTTAGGTAATACCTCTGCAACATTTGAACACTTGAAGGAGAGAGCGCTACATTCTGTGCCACTGAAAGCCCATGTGATATATTTCAGTTATCTGTTTTTGCATGCAGTCACTTTCTGAAAGGTGAGAAGTATTTAACTGCATCAGGACCACAGGGCTGAAACAGGATTGTGGACCCAAGCGGAGTGGGTATTGATCATGAAAAGACTAAATTGATGGTGTCTTGGCCAGCGCCCATGAAGAGACTTGAAGTTGGCTTCTTACTATACATGGTAAAGGATTTCTCTAAGATAGTTACTGTGCTGTGGAAATTCACGGGCAAAGGGACCTTTGAAGAGCTAAAGGCAGTCATCAGGTACCTCATCTTGTCCTTCTGAAAACCAGGTTTGACTTTAATAATGGACATCAATGGTTGTATCAGTGCACTCTCATGCAGGCCCAAAGGGCAAGCAGGTGATTGCTTACTACATTCAGACACTCAGCAAACCAAGAGAAATGTGTAACTTGTCAGAGGTGTAATCAAATGCGATAATACACGTTCAGGGCATCTCTCGGTTGCCTGGTCGGCTTCAAAGACCCAGAGGGGCAGATGGTCTAGTGGATTTACAGTACAAGAGTTTCACTACTGAGCACAAGGCTGGAATGAAAGACTTGAACACAAGATGCTGTTTCATAGGTCCTGCTGAAGTGGAATCCATTCCCTATGTCCAGGCAGAACGAGTGTAGTTCCAAGGACTTGGCTGTTGGGGACGTCACTAAGGGCCAAGCGGGACCTGAAAGTGTACCCAGGAGAACAGCCATAGTGGTGACCACTCACAGCCATCACAGCCCCCCCACTACTGCAGTAGCAGGTGCATGGACTAAATAGAAATTGATGTCCGTTGACCTTTTGTCACATTCGTAAACCCCTCCTCTTAAGGACGCTCCAGCTCTTTCTTGTTTTCCATTCATCTCCCGTACCTGCTCCCTGTTCCAGCCCCCTTTTAATTTCTCCTTAAAATCCATGCGCTCACTCTATTCCAGGCCCTGCTCTGTTTTCCGTACCAGGCGAGTCCGGGACCCGAAAGTACCTGGTCCTGGTAAGGTTTTAGTTCCCGTTCCCGTGCCGGTTCCGACCCGGTTCCCGTTTTTAATCGTCTGTCTAGGATGGACCGCCCGGCTTTGGACTTTCGCCTCCATTTGGATTCCCCCTTGGCCTTTCTTCAGGATTGTTTGCCTCGGCCACACCTTCCCTGAACACCAGCGCACCACAGACACACCACCTGTTTTCATTCCCGACTCCCGCATGCCTTTTTTCCCTTGTGTATTCTCCCTCAACTCCTGATTGTGTCGTGCGCATAGGGTCCGGAAAGAGTTCTTCCAGTACACCTTTTCCCTGGAAGCAGATTAGAAATTAATGCATGGATCATGGCCTTGGATTTCCTTACCAAGGCCCTGCATTCCCAGACCGCAGTATTCCCATCCCAGCATACAGGAGATGGTCAACAGCTTCAAAGTCCATGACGAGTGTCACATTTACACACTGGACTGTCGTGACCCAGCACACCACCCTCACAACCAGGCACCGGTAGAAATACTGTATAGACACTATCTCCAGTGAGGGAAATTCTGACACCCAGCCCTTGTCAGGAGCAGAAGTCTTGTTAGGTTATCCTGTATCACTGCTGTGAAGTACTTTGTCATCCTGAGTTTCTACCTACACACTGTGTCTAGAGCTAAGGAAGCACTTTCTGAAACCTCTTGAGACTTGTCACTGAAGCAAACTGTTACGTCAAATTATATACAAATAAGACAATTATAAACAATGCAAATTTAATATAATTCACTCTGGGCCACAGCCTCTGCTTTTCTCTGTGAAGCAAATAGTCAAAGTGGAGAAATATTGACAGATTTGTCCAAAATAAAGATTCACAACATAGTGAATAGCCTCTGGTCACAACGATTATATATTACTTCCAGGCTTTTTTCTTCTTCACCAAAGCTGAAGTAGTTAATGATTAAAAAAATATTCTGTTGACACATCAGCTATTAGCCGCTGTATTATTAATTATAAATTTTGAAAAGACAGTTTTCCAAGTGCCATCTACTTTTGGAATCCTTTAACAGACTTATATTTATATTGTTTCCCTTTTTAGCTTTTGTTTAAATAAAGTGCAGTGATTTGGATGTGTTCGAATTAGACTTTCGCTTTGGTTTGTGAATTTGTTGAGACAAAAAATAACGTCAGGTTCTAACAGTTTAAAAAAGTTCTTCTCAACTTTTCACATCATCAGATGGGTATATATATAGTAGATGGGTATATACTGTATATGCCTTTATGCTTGCTGCTACTTGATGCAATATCATGCATTAATGGTAAAAATATTTCAGTTTACAGAAATGTACACTGTATTGGAGAATAATGTACAGTTTAATTTTCAAGCTGATGATGTGAGGCAATAATTTTAAAAAGTCACAGATATTGGAGACATTCTTTGTGACTGACTGAATTAGTATGTAAAACATTCTTTCTTTGTGAGCAGTATTAGAATCATATAAAGAGGGATTTTATCTTTTGAATTGCTGCATGCATCATTTATTAGAAATTCTTATTTGGAAAATAATAGAATTAAATGATTTTGGAACGGAAGTATTTTACACTTTTTCTGGTTTACAATTTGAGTAACAGACACTTTGTAAGTATGGAGTATTTATTGTTGCTTTAAGCTTAATTATTTATTGAATTAATTCTGAAATTAATAATAACACAAAGGACAAGGTTTACAGTTCTAGTGTTCTTCCATTTTTGTTGTAGCTTTTTCTATCTTTTGCATTTTTTTCCCTGCCAGTGTATTCATTGCCTTTTCTTTATAGGCTGCTAGAGAAAGATGCTTTTAAAAAGTAATACATTAGGAAAATACTGTCCAAGTATGTCCAGTGTGTGAAATTCTTAGTGTGTCCAATGTGTGGAACTACTTTTGAAAATGAACATGAGAAAAATACTTTTTAAATGTCATCAATTACGTTAAACCAATATGGTGAGTACAGTTACTGTGTAAAATAATGCATTAACTTTTAAAAGTAACTGTAAACCTAAAAGAAATTTGCAATTGTAATGGATAAAACTGTAGTTTTAAAAGTACCTCTCACCAGCACTGGTTATAATAATAATAATAA